ATGGAGATGCTCTATACAGTCAGCAAAAATAAGACCGGGAGCTGACTGTGTGTGTGACTCAGACCATGAACTCCTTGTAGCCAAATTCAGACTGAAATTGAAGAAAGTAGGGAAAACCACTAGATCATTCAGGTATGACCTAAATCAAATCCCTTACGATTATACAGTAGAAGTGAGAAATAGATTCAAGGGATTAAATTTGATAGAGTGTCTGAAGAACAATGGATGGAGGATCATGACACTGTACAGGAGGCAGTGATCAAGACCATCCACAAGAAAAAGAAATGCAAAAAGGCAAAATGGTTGTCTGAGGAGGCCTTACAAATAGCTGTGAAAAGAAGAGAAGTAAAAGGCAAAGGAGAAAAGGAAAGATATACCCATTTGAATGCAGAGTTCCAAAGAATAACAAGGAGAGATAAGAAAGCTTTCCTCAGTGATCAATACAAAGAAATAGAGGAAAACAACAGAATGGGAAAGACTAGAGATTTCTGCAAGAAAATCAGAACTACCAAGGGAACATTTCATGCAAAGATGGGCTCAATAAAGGACAGAAACAGTTTGGACCTAACAGAAACAGAAGGTATTAAGAGGAGGTGGCAAGACTATACAGAAGAACTATACAAAAAAATCTTCATGACCCAGATAACCACAATGGTGTGATCACTCACCTAGAGCCAGACATTCTGGAATGCAAAGTCAAGTGGGCCTTAGGAAGCATCACTGTGAACAAAGTTAGTGGAGGTGATAGAATTCCAGCTGAGCCATTTCAAATCCTAAAAGATGATGCTGTGAAAGTGCTGCACTCAACATGCCAGCAAATTTGGAAAACTCAGCAGTGGCCACAGGACTGGAACAGGTCAGTTTTCATTCCAATCCCAAAGAAAGGCAATGCCAAAGAATGTTCAAACTACTGCACAATTGCACTCATCTCACACACTGGCAAAGTAATGCTCAAAATTCTCCAAGCCAGGCTTCAACAGTACATGAACCATGAATTTCCAGATGTTCAAACTGGATTTCGAAAAGGCAGAGGAACCAGAGATGAAATTGCCAACATCCACTGGATCATCGAAAAAGCAAGAGACTTCCAGAAAAACATCTACTTCTGCTTTATTGACAATGCCAAAGCCTTTGACTGTGTGAATCACAACAAACTGTGGGATATTCTGAAAGAGATGGGAATACCAGACCACCTGACCTGCCTCCTGAGAAATCTGTATTCAGATCAAGAAGCAACAGTTAGAACCAGACATGGAAAAACAGACTGGTTCTGAATCGGGAAAGGAGTGCATCAAGACAGTAATTGTCACCCTGTTTATTTAATGTCTATGCAGAGTACATCATGTGAAATGCCGGCCTGGATGAAGCACAAGCTGGAATCAAGATTGCTGGGAGAAATATCAATAACCTTATATACACAGATGACACTACCCTTATGGCAGAAAGTGAAGAGGAACTAAAGAACATATTGATGAAAGTGAAAGAGGAGAGTGAAAAAGTTGGCTTAAAATCAACATTCAAAAAACTAAGATCATGGCATCTGGTCCTATCACTTCATGGCAAATAGATGGGGAAACAATGGGAATAGTGACAGACTTTATTTTCTTGGGCTCCAAAATCACTGCAGATGGTGACTGCAGACATGAAATTAAAAGACGTTTGCTCCTTGGAAGAAGAGCTATGACCAACCTAGACAGCATATTAAAAAGCAGAGACATTACTTTGCCAGCAAAGGCCCGTGTAGTCAAAGTTATGGTTTCTCTAGTAGTCATGTATGCATGTGAGAGCTAGACTATAAAGAAAGCTGAGTGCTGAAAAATTGATGCTTTTGAACTGTGGTGTTGAAGAAGACTGTTGATAGTTCCTTGGACTGCAAGGAGATCAAACCAGTGAATCCTAAAGGAAATATTTCCTGAATGTTCATTGGAAGGACTGATGCTGAAGCTGAAACTCCAGTACTTTGGCCCCCTAATGGGAACAGCTGACTCATTTGAAAAGACCCTGATGCTGGGAAAGATTGAGGGCAGGAGAAGAGGATAACAGAGGATGAGATGGTTAGATGGCATCAGTAACTCAATGGACATGAGTTTGAGCAAGCTCTGAGAAATGGCGATGGACAGGGAAGCCTGGCATGCTGCAGTCCATGCTGTCACAAGGAGTTGGACATGACTGATTGACTGAACTGAACCAAATATCATAAAAGCATTCAGATTTCCCCAATTGTCTAATACATGACTTTCAACATTATATCTTTAATCTCTGATGCATAAGAAAAAGAGGTTTGAGATTCTATAATACGAAGCTCATAACTTAGATAGTGCATCAATCAAAATATTTATTAAACTTTTCTTATGAATCCATGACTAGGCTTGATATATTGAGTGTTAGGGATGTTAGTTCCCAGAGGTGGCAGGCTCCATGAACTCAAACAAGAAAGAAAACACACATTCACACGCAACATACACACATACACGAGACTTCTATTTGTTGCACTCTTATTCATTCTCTATGACCAGCTTAAATTTTATTTTTTCTCCTACCTTAACTCTATATATTTCCCTAAGCAGAGCTATTTGTTCACTTTTCTGGGTTCTCATTGCTTTGTAGCTAGTTCAATATAGCATTTATCCTGGTTGATGCTAATGTTTTGTTATGTGCAGCAGGCAGAATTCTAAGATGACCCCTCAATGAGTCCTTTGTATAATTCCCTCCCATTGCCTGGGAGGAGGGTCTGTGAATATGAGATGTTATTCCCATGATTATGTAACCCTGTATGGCAAAAGGTGTGCCAAATTGCTTGACTTTAAGATAGCAAGATTACTCTTTGTGGGACTTACCTACTTGATCAGGTCAGTTTTGAAAAGACATAAGGCTCTTCAAAAGAGACTTGAAGTGTGAGAGGGATTTGATACGGGGAGATAATCTTGTACTTGCTTGGAGGTGGAAGGGGCCACAGGGCAAGGAAGGCAGCCTCTACAATCTGAGGATGACCCTCGGCTGATGGTTAGAAGGATCTTCAGTCCCACAATCCCAAGGAACTGAATTCTGTCACAAGCACAAGAGCTTGAAGTCAGATGCTAGCAACAGGTAAGAATGCAGCCTACCTAACACCTTGATTTTAGCCCTGTGAGACCATGAGCAGAGAACCCACTTGGGCTATACCCAGACTTCTGACTTGCAGAACTGTGAGCTAATAAACTAAATTGCTAAATTTGTAATTTCCTACACAGCCATTGTGACAGACTTTATTTTCCTGGGCTCCAAAATCACTGCAGATAGTGACTGCAGCCAAGAAATTAAAAGACGCTTGCTCCTTGGAAGAAAAGCTATGACAAACCTAGACAGCATATTAAAAAGAAGAGCTATTACTTTGCCGACAAAGGTCCATCAAGTCAAAGCTATGGTTTTTCCAGTAGTCATGTATGGATGTGACAGTTGGACCCTAAAGGAGGCTCAGCACTGAGGAACTGATGCTTTTGAACTGTGGTGTTGGAGAAGACTCTTGAGAGTCCCTTAGACTGCTAAGAGATCAAACCAGATAATCCTAAAGGAAATCAATCCTGAATATTCATTGGAAGGACTGATGCTGAGGCTGAAACTCCAAACTCCATACTTTGGCCACCTGATGTGTAGACCCAATTTTCATTAGAAAAGACCATGATGCTGGGAAAGATTGAAGACACGAGAAGAAGGGGACAACAGAGGTTGAGATGGTTGGATGGCATCACCGACTGAATGGACATGAGTTTGAGCAAGCTCCAGGAACTGGTGAAGGACAGGGATACCTGGCGTGCTGCGGTCCATGGGGTCACAAAGAGTTGGACTTGACTGAGCAACTGAACACCAACACCAACAACAACACAGCATTATGCATTATGCATCTATCTTCTTCACTGAACAAAGATCACCTGGAAGGCAGGGTTTGTTTCTTAATTTTCAACATAGTCCCCTATAAGCAAAGTACCTAACTTAGAGCAGTGGTTTAATAAGTGTTTGTTGGATAAAATTTTGCAGTGTTGTATAGGAAATTAGAGACAAAGATTCAGTGTACTCAGTTTATTTCAGTAAGTGTTCTTCAAATGCTCACTAGGTGCTCAGCACCATGCCAAAGTCAAGCTCCTCCAAGGTAGCATCTCTGACTCAGTTTCCAGTTTATCTTATATTGATAAAACATTGGGTTTTCAAGCATTACTGATGCAGTTAACTGGATTTATAGTATTAGAGATACGAGTTGATGAGGAAATGAATATAAAAGATAAGAAAAATTCCAAAACTTATATTGAGGAATAGCTTTATTATGCTGCCTTTTAGAACTTCTAATTAATGTCAGTCATGACTGTAACTTTGGGCAATTCATTTAATCTTTCTGACCAGCAATTTCCTCACTAATAAAGAGGTAGGATATAGGATGCCACTTGTCAACATAAGATTCTATGTCATCTATGAGTTTCATGCGTTCTTTCCATCGCTACTCACTATGGTGATAATGACATGGCCACATTCTGACATGCAGGCTTCAGAAATGAAAAGGTCACAATAATCCCCACATTAAACATGATGACTGCCTTATCTTCTTCCAATAGGTTAAAAGGAGCATCTCAGAATCCTCGAGAAATAAGAAGAAAACATACTCATATTTTTAAAAATCTCTCAATGTTTTAACTAAGTTTTTTAAGGGTAAACAGTTTTTGTACTCTGAAAAAGTTCAGGCCTTATAGCATAACTGGAAGAATCCCAGCTGAAAAGGCTTGACATTTGACTATCTGGGCAGCAAAAGAGCATGTACTCAAAATGAAAAGAAAATGACGTGATGCTTAAACTATGCTTTAAAGTCCTGCCTGCCACCCATTGTGGGGGGAAGGAGCTTGGATGATGTAAGAAAGAGTAAGGGTGGATGAAGACATTAAAAGTGCGCAATATCCAGTGGCTTCCAGTTGGCTGGCCTGTTTTAACCCAGGAAAATAAGAGGTGTTGGTAACTAACTTTGGTCCCCTCTGCAAATGGAAAAATATTCAGAAAAAAATACTTCTCATTCATTTTGCAAATATTTATTGAATTCCAACCATGTGCTAGGTACTGTCCTAAATGATAAGGATATAGTCATGAACCTGCCTATGGACCCTATAATTTCACATATATTAAGTAAGGCTCACTTGGGAAGTCAGGGTTGTTTTCAGTTACCTGAATGTCCACTATATGCTCAGCTACAGAGGCAGATTCTCAGTAAAACTAATGAACTTCAGTCTTCTCGGCTGCTTGCTTTTTGGGCCCCCTGTTCTGTGTGTCTTCCTCAGGGATTTGGAACTCATGGATACACAGACCCTGCTCCAGCCAGGGGGTTGTCCTCTATATCCTGACCTACAGGGAAGATCAGTGGTCTCCTAGGAACCCCTTAAATTTTGTTGGCGCCTAGTGATATTCTATACTACATGGGGGCCTCTCCAAGTACCCTGAGCCCAACTCTGGCATCAAGAAGATTCTGATTAAAATGTTGCTCCCCTATCAGGGCACCTTTTGCTCTGCAACCTCCTCCTCCTGCTCAGGACTAACTGGATGCCAGACTTGGCTTAGTTGGATCAGCCCCTGAGGCCATGGCCAAATGGCCGGCTGGAGCCCTCTTCCAGTGATATCAAAGGTCTGCAGCCTCTGAGGGCCTTTCCTAGGACACAAAGCACCTTTAGAGCAAAAATTGTTTGAGCTGTGGGATGACCAACAAGTTCTGAAGCTAAAAAAACCTTTTCTAAGCCATCAATAACAAAAAATATATTTCTATCTACTATGCCAGGAGAAAGACAAAATTATCTTTCTTTTCTCTCATTTATTATTAAATTTCATAATAATGGTATTATAAAATTTTTACCATGTGAAAATCGAAGAGTATAAAAACCAAACATACAGGGAAAATGTGCATTATATATGTGGGTCAACTAGTTAAATTGTAACAGTAAGAATGATTGTTAATTAATACTAGTGATAATAACACTATTTTCCTGGATGCTTTTTGGAATTTGTAATTTGTTGTGATTTCTGTTTTTCATTTAAAATAGATTTCTACCCTGAATCTAGTTTCATATTCTCTTTCATAAACATGGCTCCCTATTTAAGAAACATCAGGCCTTGTAAATCTTCAGATCTACTCTGATAGGGCTCCTTTTCTTAAAGAAGTGAGCAGGAAAAAAAAAAAAAACCCCATAAGAAATCACTAAAATCATGAGAAACCAATTCCCATAGCTTTTCTTTACTCCATTAAATCCTTACCCTCTCCTATTTGGCCTTCTTATAAGTTAGTCGCTCGGTCGTGTCCGACTCTTTGCAAACTGATGGACTGTAGCCTGCCAGGCTTCTCTGTCCATGGAATTCTCTAGGCAAGAATATTGGAGTGGGTTGCCACTTCCTTCTCCAGGGGAATCTTCCCAACCCAGGGATTGAACCCAGGTCTCCTGCATTGCAGGCAGATTCTTTACCACTCAGCTATCAGGGAAACCCATCCTATTTGACCTTCCATCTATTTGAAAAACTTCAATGAGTCAAATGCCAAGAAGGAGTATTCAAAATATCTAAATACAAAAGGGGCTTCCCTAGTGGCTTAGAAGGTAAAGAATCTGCCTGTAACCCAGGAGACCCGCCTGACCCAACCTCATTGAAAAAAATCAAGGATCCAACTCCACCTTCCTAATTTGGAAGAAGACAAACTTGTCTGAATTGGTTTTTGGAACAGGAATTACCTTAGAAGTGCAGTTCCAGAAACTGAGGAGCATATGATTTTGTTAGTACATTTCTCTTAAAATGAGTTATTAATTCAGAGGCAGCCACTATCAAATGTCTTCCTACAACACATCAACCACTATTTTCCATCTATTCAGGAGGGAATGGCAAGGCTGAGAGCCAATGAAGGGGAGAGAAATGACTGCTGATTTTGTTGCAACGAAACCAAAGGACGCTTGATTTATCAATACATTTGGCACACTCTTTTTCAGGGGTGTGTTGGGGAGGAAGAGTGGGGTGGTGGAAATTAAGGGTTGTAGATTTTATAAATCAGGCCCTCTAAAGTAGGCCAATTGGTCAGCTGCAAACTTGGCAGCGTTGTGAAGCATGTGTGCTGAGGCAGCTTCAGAACACAATGTTCTGTTCACTCTGCGAGCAAAGGAAAGTGGAATAAGGGCTCAACCCAGGACACTGCTAGGGCTCAGCACAGACAGGCAAGGAGGCCGAGAGACAAAGGAAATGCTAAGGAATAAGGCAATATCCTGAGACTAGTGGACACGAGAGAGACAGAGAGAGTGTATGTGAGAGAGAGAGAGAGAGATTGATTACTGCCCCTGAGAGAGGTGCTGTAGTTCTGATGTTTACTCAAACTAAATTCTGGAAATTTCAGAGCAGTTGTGTGATTAATGATTAAAAGTAATAACTGAATGTTCTATGTCAGAGTAATGATGAAATTTTGAAAAATTTGCTTGGGAATAATGCTGAGTCTATAAACTATGAACTATAAAGATGTGTGGCATAAAGAGAAAAGGAATATAAAAAAAAAAGGGGAATAGCCTGAAACACAGATTTTTTAACTCCAAATGTAATCAGGACTTGCCAGAGCTTTTTCAAACCATACTTATATTTCATACTGTTTCAATAATTACTTGGATGCTACTGAATAACAGGATAATGTAGAATAACAGGATAATGTAGAATATATAAAAATAACTTAACATAGTTGGCATATTTGAGTATTTAGCCTTCTCGGATATTGTCAAATGGCTTATAAGAAAATAAACTGAACCCTTCAAGCACAAAAAATAAAGGAAAGAAGGAAAGAAATAGTGTTAACAGTTCAAGAAAAACAAGGAAGTAATAGTAAATTGTACTTTAATTCATAAAACATTCTGTGGAATTGCACTGATCACCCGTATTCTGGAGATTTTTATTTTCGTTCAAATGATTTTGAATCGTGCTGCAGTGATATTCCATTAGAATCATTTACAACTGATAGTATGCAATGATTTAGTTCACACATGTTTTCCTTCAAATATCTGATACTATCATAAGCTTGAAAGGAGGACAGAGGTAAAACTAGTGATAATTGCTTAATTTCAAATGTGCACGACCATTTAAAACTTTAAAGTTGAAAATAACTTCTTAAGGGATGTTTTTGATTTACTGCAGAGAAGAATTTCAAGTTTAAATGCAAAAATGGTTTTTACTTACTAGCATCACATCCTCCTCCACATAGGAAAAAAAAAAGCACCTTATTTACCAGTGTAAAAAATCAGAGACCGTAGTGGCCAAGACTCAGCTGGTCTTTGTGAAGGAGTTTATAGCTTTCAGCTAAAATCTCTAAGTGTGAACTCTCATTCTCAGCTGCTGGCTCCCTAAGAGCTCCCTGTGGCCTCTGACCCCATTTCCATGGAGACAGAGGTGGGAAGGGTAAAAATAAGTTAAAGGGAAAACTTTTTTTTTTTGGAAGGCAGTATTTTCAAATCCCCGCTCCTCCAATACTGATGAGTGTTCAAGTTAAAACTGGCCATACATCAGTAACTGAAATGTACTTCATTCTTCAGGGTTAAATGGCTGAAAATAAGGTATTTGCTTGCAAAGGTATGTTTCCATGGAAAAAAAGAAACGAAAAGAAAACACCCATTCTGTTGGGTGCTGTTTAAGCTGAAAATTGGAGCTCAAATGAAGGTAAAATGGTTGCTGCCATTTAAAAATGGAAAGAGAATCCTACTGGTTTCCAGAGTTTGGTTTTGGGCTGAGAGCTGTGACTGTTAAGTGTCAAGACACTGCAGATTTCTGCAGTGGGGGTGGGAGTATAGGTTGGTGCTTCCCCATATGTCAGAAAGCTGGGATCTTCATCAGGAGAATTAAATATAGGATGGTTTGCCTCATGTGTATCAGTTAATCCATTGTTTTGCTGTAAGCTTTTGTTCCTGACCATCTAACTGAGGCTAATAAAAGTAGATAGGATGCTACAACTCCTGTTGTAACCACCAGCTCTACACCTGCTTCCAGTAGCTATTTGCTGAGTCATGCCTACATACCTGCTACCAGACGATGTATTTTCTCACTTAACGACAGCCCCCTGGGGGGAAAAAACATTTTATTAGGGAAAAACTCAAACATACACAAAATCAGAGAGAGTAGTCTAATGAGCCCCATGAGCTCATGTCTCATTTATGGCAATCATTAATTCTTTTGAAGCAAACCTTAGATATTTTTATCCATGAAGATTTTAGTATGTACTTATAGAATACAAGGGACTCATTAAAAATAAAAACACCATTACATCACACTGAAAAACATAAACAATTATTTTTTAATATCAACAAATATCAGTGAGATGGCTTTTTGAGTTCATGACTATTGTTTTTGTTATATTATTATTCACATTTTGCAGTTATAGAGACTGAAGGCAAGAGAAGTTAAAAATTCTGCACAATATCTCACAGAAGTAGGAGAACCTACTTATAGGTTGAGGTGTAGATGAACACAAGCTCATGTTCTCAATATCACAAGGATTATAACAAAACAAAGAGACTAGCATTTTTTTGTGTGTTTATGTACTATGTGCTACATTTTGTTCTGACTACTTGTCTTATTTAATTCACACAACAACCCAGTGAGGGGTGGATGCCATTATCTGCATTGTGCAGATAAGGAAGTGAAGGCAAGAGGGCTCAGACAATAGCTAGTACATGGTGCATCCAGTTAAAGGACACATTCATTCACTCTCTCATTTACTCATCAACTTCCTATCATTATATTTATCTAGGCATCTATATATCCATTTATTTGCATAGATAATGTATTTTCATGGCACAAAACTCTAAAGTTCAAAATGGTACACGTGGAAAAATGTGTATCACATCTGTCCCGCGTCCCTCTCCCCCATCATCCAGTTCCTATCTCCAGAGGCAAGCAATATTTGGAGTTCCAGGGATCCTTCCCTTGGTACTTCATGCACACACACAAGGAAATGCATATCCATCCCTTCCTATTTTTACACGAAGGCAGCAGGCTATACACACTGTTCTGCACGTAAGGGTTTTCACTTAGCATATTCTGAAGTTTTACTACTTTTTTTTTTTTTTTAAACACAGGACCCACACTGTTACACCCAGCCCATTCACATTGGGAAGCAAACCCACGTCTGAATCTCTAAGTCTCTAAATCTTAACTTCCACATAAATATTTAATGTTAACTTGGAACTTCCATGTTTTCCTCATTCACATTGTGAGCCTGCCCAAGCACTCTTTCGGAAAAGGCAATGGCACCCACTCCAGTACTCTTGCCTGAAAAATCCCATGGGCGGAGGAGCCTGGTAGGCTGCGGTCCATGAGGTCGCTAAGAGTCGGACACGACTGA